AGAAACATCGATCATGTTGCTTTCCCTACGTGCCCCAACCAGAGATCAAACCCGAACCCCAGGCGTGTGCTCTGAGAATGGAGCTGGCAACCCTTCGGGGCCCGGGCAGACGCTCCAACCAACTCAGCCGCTCCTGCTGGCCAGGCTAAACTCCAATAAGTTTTTTTTAAAAGCCTGTAGCCCCAACACAAGACCACTGGACATCAATGAAAATAAAACTTTCTGGTTACAAAGGCAAATATTTTAATGCTCTTTGATTTTGCCAAATGGGGAAAATATTCAGCTCTGCTCTGAATACAGGTGCTTTATAAAATTTGATGGATCTCTTGATTTAAATTCCTTTAAGGTCAGATAAATAAACATACCTGTACAGGTCTGTTGGTTTAAATTGGAGCCCAACTTTTGCTCTATTTGCTTTGGAAATTGTGGCTTTTGAGATATAAGCATATGTCAATGTCTTGAAAAAAAATTCACTTATGACAAGTGCCACAAAAAATAAGTCCAGCAAGTGGGTATTATAAGGACCTGATAACAGGCGCATTTCACCTGGTCAGGGAGGTGGAGAGCCTCTCAGGAAGGGGTTCTTGAACCCAGGTGTGGGGGAAGGGGAATTATTGACTTCCCAGGGAAAGAAGAGAGAGCAGTCCAGGCAGTGGAAAGCATGTGCAAAGGCCCTGCCCTGGAAGGAAGCATAGTGGACACAAGGATCTGAGAAAAGGGCAGAGTGAAGAGCAGGGAGAGAGAGGCCTGTGGGGAGCAATCGGCTCAGGCTGGGTGGGACCCAGGCCATGTGAAGGATCTTCATTCTTTTTTAAAATGTTTTTATTGATTTCAGAGAGAGAGGCAGAGAGAGAGAAACATCAGTGATGAGAGTCATTGATCGGCTGCCTCCGCACGACCCCACTGGGATGGAGCCCGCAACCCGGGCATGTGCCCTGATGGGGAATTGACCCGTGACCTCCTGGTTCATAGGTTGACGCTCAATGGCTGAGCCCCGCCGGCGGGGCAGGATCTTCTTTTTTTTTTTAATCCTCACCTGAGGATATTTTTTCCGTTGCTTTTCAGGGAGTGGGGGGAGGGGGGAGAGAAACATGGATGTGAGAGAGACACATCAATCGGTTGCCTCCCGCATGTGCCCTGACTAGGGCTGGGGATCGAGCCTGCAACCAAAGTACATGTCCTTGGCCGGAATTGAACCCAGGACCCTTCAGGCCTCAGGCCGACACTCTAACCACAGAACCAAACAGGCTAGGGCAGGATCTTCATTTTAAGATCAGATTTGCATTTGAGATCCCTCTGGCTGTAGCGGAGATGGGTTGGTTGGAGGGCCAGAGGGGCAGCTGAGCCACATCAGGTGGCTGGTCGAGGCTGCAAGCAGGGGAGGCTTGCACCAGGATGGGAAGGGGAGAAGTAAACCGCTTTGAGAGCCATCTGGGTCAGTTAAGTTGCTTTGGTAATGGAGTGGATATGGGGTGGAAAAGGTGTCGAGAGTGAAACATCGGTTCCTGTTCATGCAGTGAGATGGGTGGTGGTGGGATTCTTTGAGACAGGGAGCTTATTCACTCAACAAACATTTGTGGGTAACTCCTATGCCAGACACTGAGCATGGGTTTTTGAGAAAAACAAGATATAGTACAGTCATGCACTGCTTAATGCAGGGGATACATTCCGAGCAATGGGTCATTAGGTGATTTCATTGAGCAACACGACAGTGTGCTCGCACCAGCGTAGGAGGCACAGCCCACTCCACACCTAGGCCGCAGGGCACCGCCCAACGCTCCCAGTGCTGCGCTGAGTACTGCAGGCAGTCACAGCTCAAGGCAAGCGTTTGTGATTCTAAACGTATCTAAACACAGAAAAGGTGCAGTAAAAATACTGTATAAAAATAATGGCGCACCTGTATAGGGCACTTACCACGAAGGAGCCTACAGGACTGGAACTCGTTCTGGGCGAGGGTGAAGGCCTGGGCCTTTACTGTACACTACTGTAGTTTTATAAACACTGTAAACTTAGGCTATACCAAATCTATTTAAAAACTTTTTCTTCAATAATACATTAGCTTTAGGTCACTGTAACCTTATAAACTTTTTATTTTTTTTGACTTTTTGTATTAACAGCTTAAAACACGTACTGCTGTACAAAAATATTTTTATAGCCTTATTCTAAGTTTTTTCTATTTTTTATTTTTTAAACTTTTTTGTTAAAAACTAAGACAAACACACACATTCACCTAAGCCTACACAGGGTCAGGATCATCAATGCCGCCGCCTCCCACTCCACATCTTGCCCCACTGGGAGGTCTCTAGGGGCACGGAGCAGTCGCCCCCTGGAAGTGTCTTCTGCAGTACACTGAGGCTCTTCTTGGGGAGGTGTCACTCTTTTCAGAAAGCACTATGTCTTTGGCTTTATTGCAGCTACAACCGTGTCACAAGACGAGGAATTTCTCAGTTCCATTATAACCCTATGGGACCACTGTCGTATATGTGGTCCATCCTTGACCACGTCATTGGGCAGTGCATGGCTGTATTTGTTTTCAAGGATCTTACAGTCTAGCAGGGGAGGAAGACATAGGCCAGTGGGTTTAAGAGTATGCTGAGCTAGACCCATTCTGGGCTGAGGCGGGACAGGCCCAAGAGAATGTGGCCAGTTCTATGGGGGGCCTGATGGAGGGAAGGTCAGGGATAGGGAGGTGAAAGGCATTAAAGGTGTGAGGCTTTAGAAAAAAAACAAAATAACGTCTTGCTACTCAAAGTGTGGTCAGCAGTGTTGCAAGACCTGGGAGCTTGTTAGAAATGCCGTATCTCAGGCCCCACCCCAGAATTGCTGATCCCACATCTGCATTTTCACAAGCTCCCCAGCTGAATCGTGTGCACAGTGGAAGTGTGAGGAGTGCTGGCCTCATCGAGAATTCTCAGCCACATGTCAGGCCCACCTAGTTTTACATCTGGCTTGGCATTCAGTGGCTGAGTGGTCTGGGGCAGGTCAATTGATCTTTTTATGTTTCTCTTCTGTAAAATCAAAATACAGTAGTCTCTCCTTATCCGGGGGGATATGTTCCAAGACCCTCAATGGATGCCTAAAACCATGGATAGTACTGAACTCCATAGATATATTTTCCTGTACACACATACCTATGAAAAAGTTTAATTTACAAGTTAGGAATCATAAGAGATTAACAATAAAATAGAACAAACAATTACAATACAGTCATGTACCACATGTCTCTTGACGGCATCATTTTCTCTTGTGCCTGATTTAATCTCATTTTATACAGTGACATGCTGTACAGGGTCACATCCTAGGAGCAACAGCTTGTGCCATACAGCCTGGGTGTGTAGGCTATGCCGTCTGCGCGTGATTCAGTGCACTGTGATGTTCACACAAGGAAATCGCCTGACGCATCTCAGAACATTTTCATGTCGTTAGTGGCACATGACTATACGGTAACATACGTGAACAGGATCTCTCTAAATATCTTACTGTACTGTACTTACCCTTCTTGTGATATGAGATGACACAATGCCTTTGTGATGTTAAAGTGAGGTCCTCAGAATAGCACATAATTTAAACTTATGAATAGTTTATTTTTGAAATTTTCTTTTATTTATATTTTAAAAATATGTTTTATTGATTTCTAGAGAGCATGTGCGCTGACTGGGAATTGAACCAGCGACCTTTTAGTGCATAGGACTATGCTCAACCAACTGAGCCACACCAGCCAGGACATGAAATTTTCCATTTAATATATTTAGGCCATGGTTGATCGAGGGTAACCGAAACCGCAGAAAGCAAAACTGCAGATAAGGGGGACACCTGTGATAACAAAACCTACCAGGCAGGATTACTCTGAGGAGAAATGAGATTAAAAGTGCCAAGCTTGGTATGTGGCACCGAGTAAGAGCTCACTATGGTTTTTAAGGTTTCTAAGCAGGAGCATTTTAATTTTTTAATTGATTTTTTTAGAGAGAGAGGAGAGAGGAAGAGAAACATCGATGCAAGAGTGAAACATCAATTGGCTGCCTCCTGCACACCCCCTACTGGGGATGAAGCCCATGACCTGGGCATGTGCCCTGACCCTGACCAGGAATCGAACCGGCAACCTTTCGGTGCACAGGAGGATGCCCAACCAACTGCACCACATGGGCCAGGGCAGCAGGAGAGTTTTAGAAAGATCATCGGACAAGTGATCAATTCTTTGATTAAAAGGATAAATAATCTCTCTTATCATAGAAGAAATGCAAATTACTTTACAATTCTTTCCCATATCCTCTCTAGATTAAGTGTTGGAGAAGAAACTGGAACCTTCTAGCACTTACTAATAGACTTACAGAGGTACAGCCACTTTGGTCAGAAATCTGGCAGCACTCAAGAAAAACTGGGCAGGTGCCCACTCAATGACCAGTGCTTCCACTCCTGGATATAAACCTGAGATCTCACCTGGGTTCCCAAAGAGGACCACTACATTCTCTGCAACACAGCATCCTGGGGCTAGTACAGGATTTGGTTACATGGGACAGAAATCTTCAAATAGCAGTGATTCAAACAAGGCAGAAGTTCCACTTTCCCTTGAAAGCCCAGAGGTCGATGGCACAGGGCTGGTAAAATGCTGCATGAAAGCTGAGACTCAAGTTCCTTCTCTCCTTGACCTTCCCTGCGTGGCTTCCATCCAAGGTCACCTCATGTCAGTCGGGTTGCTCACTTCCAGGAAGAAAGTGAAGGAGAGGGGCACACGCTGCCCACTTATGGTCGCATCCTGGAAACTGCAGCCCTTCTCCCCTTGTACCTCATGAGTCCCAAGCGGCCCTTGGGCACACCTAGCTATAGCGAAGGCTGGGAAGTATAGTCTTCATTCTTAAGTCTCTGTGCTTTGCTAAAAACCAGGGGTTCTGTTACCCCAGAAGGAGGAAGAAAGGATGTCAGGGGACAACTAACGGTCTTAGTCGCAGAGACTAGTGGTCCCATGAGGGCTACAAACACAGAAATCCTCAAATACACACAAGTTGAAGGTATTCCCATTTATTCTGCTGAGACTGGATATATAATCTTAATGTGTTCAAAGTCTTTAACAGACATAAAAGATCTGAAAAAATGAGAGCTATACCGTATTATGTATTATTTAAATGTTATTAAGGTTTCTTTGCTACAATAGGTCAAAGGAATGCCACACCAACAAAAAAAATTTTAAGAATGTGATACACTGTTGCCAAAATTATACCACATATAGTGGGAAATTAATGACTTTATTAGTAGACAACACTGAGGAAACTGGCTAATTGTATGATGAAAATAAGACTTGGACCTCATATGCAAATGTGAATTTTAAATAGTTTAAAAGTAATGCTCAATATTTAGCAGCTAGTACAGTTTGGCATCAGCCACTGAGAACAAGTGTTTGACCACGCAGAGCAGACGCCAGACGCTGCAAACACCAGCATGTACTAGCTGGACTTCAGCCCTATTTATGGCCTAAGTGTGAAAGGAAAAGCTAATAAGCTAACAAAAGAAAATGTAAAATATCTTAATTACTTTTAAATAAGAAATCAAAAAGCAACAAAAGATACGGCAAAATAATTCATTCACCTATATTAAAATTAAAATTTTCTTTTCAGTAAAGGGCACACCTAGATATATAAACCAAGTGCCATTCTGAGTTATCTGCAACTGCCCAGGAATATATCACTCTTGAGAATAAACAAAGGCACAGGAAGCCCACATGAGAAAATAAGCAAAGAGAAATGAACAGCTTACAGAAAGGGAAACCAAAAAGGCTGACAGGTACCTGAAGAAATCCCCCAAGTTCCTGGGGATGAGATGAGTGCACATTAAAACACACCTTACACCCTTGAGACTGGCAAAAAAGAAAAAGTTGGGCAATAAAAGAGCCAGTGAGGGTGAGGAGAAAGGGGAAGCTTCCAGTGGGAGTGTCAGTGACCATCTCAAGAGAAATTTGGTAGAACTATAGAGAAATTAACCTGTCTGGCCTGTAATCCCATCCTGGGTACCTACGCCGGAGAGCTTTCCACACAAGCATGGAAGGGGACACATAATAGGATGTTCATCGTGGCCTTGTCTACATGCCCAGGAGTTGCAGGTACCTAGGGTTGGAGTCGCCCGGGGTCCAGCAGTGAACGTGAAAGTATCACGCAGCTGATGCCCACTGTGCAAGGCCGCAGCTCAGTTCAAAGCAGCAGAGTCGGTGTAAAACAGGCAACACATGTTGAGTGAGAAAAGAAGCCGCACAGATGTGCAGCACACCACCACATGCCTAGGAAGGCTATTCACACGCACAGCACCGCGCTTCACAAGGACACATTCATATTCAAAGATGTGTAACCAACAGCGTAGAGCGGGTGCTTATGGGAGAGGACGGCACGAAGAAGGGGAGAAGAGCCATAAAACCAGGGCCTTGCATGGACTAGAATCTGCGATCCAAAACGAAAGGCTCTGTGTGCTCAATTATGCCCTAAATAATGTGTGTGCATCAGGCAGGGGCTGTAAAGGGTCCTGAGGTGAGTTAGACACTCAAGGCCCAGAACCTTCAATATCTTTCAAAAGAGTAGCCCACTGTCTGCCTACACTTAGGCTCATGCGTGAGCTTGATCATTTACTTTCCTGCAAGTCAAAGAGCCACACCTGTTATGTGCCTCAAGCAAACCTCACCACCTATCCCCAATTGACACTAAGGCCACTGCTGTCCTAGACATGGCGTAAATCCCAGGCCTGGAATCCCATTCTCAACCCTAATTTATTTCAACTCCCTCTTCAAACAGCAGTTCCATAAAATAGACATTTTGGTGAAGGAAAGGGTGATGGTGGAAGTAAAAGGGTGGGGGGTAGGAGATGTCCCAGGGGGTTGCAAAACTCAGCACACCATGGAAATGGAGCCACAGTCCACCCAGGGCAGCAATGACGACCACACAACTAACCAGGTCACTAACAGTTTGAAACTAGAGTCAACGGGAGAGGGGGTCAAATACCATGCCTTGATTTTGCTTCAGCTTAAAGCTAAGTTCTAACTCAGCTTCAGCCAGCCCTTACAGGGCCAAAAGGGGACAGGTGTTCTCCCCAAGTCCAGATGGGCCTCCAAACAGGGAGGGGTTTCAGCCCCAGACCTCAATGAGGTCCCCGGATTCCATGCCCAGATCAGCTGGTAGCTCCTTGCCTGAAAGCTTTGTCCCATCAAAGAAGAAGGAGAGCTTGCAGCCAGAGAGTCCCATGGCCTCCTCGTAGTGGGACATGAGAGTCTTGAGAGGAGAATCCTGGATAGACAAGAAAAAATTGATGTAAATGAAAAGAGGAGCTGAGAAGAACTTGGGACAGACAGAGGACGTGGGACAGAGAAGAGGAGGGGACAAGTAAAGTCAGTGCCTGTGAGGGGAAGGCTAGTGGACAAAGCCAGTATAGTTGGTTCCTCTCTAGGCAACCAGGCTACAGAGCCCAAAGCTTAGGATGGAGGCTCTGGGTCAGGCAGGTTCTCCAAGTCTCAGTCTCCTCGCCTGCCAATGGAGGCATATATTGCAATGACAAAGAGAGCCCAGACTCTGGAGTGAGAATGATCCGAGCTAGAGGCCAGGCTCTCCCACCTAACTGGATGTGTGACTTTAGGTAAGTGTTAAGAGTTTAAACTGTGTCCCCTGAAAAAAGATACTTTGTGGTCCTAATCCCTGGTAAATGTGACTGTGACCTTACTTGGAAGTAGGGTCTTCACAGATGTAATCAAGTTAAGATGAGATCACACTTGAGGATTAGGGTGGGCAGTAAGTAATGCAACATGACTGGTGTCCTTGTAAGAAGAGAAAACAGAGACACAGGGAGAATGCCATGTGATAACAGAGGCCGACTGGAGTGATGCAGCTGCAAGCCAAGGATCGACGGCCACCACCAGGAGCTGGAAGAGGCAAGGGAAAATTCTGCGCAGTCTCAGAGGGAGTGTGATCCTGCTGGCGCCTTAATTTCAGATTTCTAACCTCCAGAACTGTGACAGAATACATTCCTGTTCTAAGCCTCCCAGCTTGTGGTCCTGTGTTATAGCAGCCCAGGACACTAATACAGCAAGTCACTCACCTCTCTAGACCTCAATTTCCTTATCTGTAAAATAAGGGTAACAGTGCTTCACCATATAAGACTGTTGTGAAATTCAATACCCTCAATGTCACTTACAAGTGTGGCTTTAATTGCTATTTTGATGGATTTTGGTGGTTACTGTCCAAAGGTCCTTTCCATTTTAACTAGAAGAAGGACATAGGAGCATAGAGCAGAGGTTCCCAGCAGAAAGGGAGGGAAGTTGAATGACGGGCTTTTCCCACTACCTGGGGTGGGTGGGAACCCAAGACCAGGGAGGGTAGTGTCCAGAAAATCAGGCCTAGAAGGAATGCACCCTCAGTTAACTGACAAGAGAGGTGGCAGAGGAAAGGGTGAGGGGCATGGAGAGCCAGCTCTTTCACTCACTCGAGACAGCGAGACTTCCAGCATCTGGTGTTTCTCCTTCCCCTGCACCCGCAGCTGGAGCAGATGGGATGTCTCTGTGGCTTCTGGAGAACTTGCTAGCACCACACAGTCTGTGGGAGGCAGGATCAGGATGCCAGGCCTAAGCAGGGGTTGGAAGCAGGGCCCCGTTGGGGCCTTTCCTCTTACCCCTCCCTGGGGCAAAAGCCTCCTCAAGGCTCCACCTCCCTGCCTTCCTCTCACCAATGATGTCAGCCACTCCAAGCTTTAGGGTCCTGGGGGTGGCAGTAGGGGACAGCTCTGTCTCTCCAAAGAGCAAGAGGATCCTGCTTGGGGACACCCCAAGACGGGTGGCCATGTGGTCCACCACACTCTGTAGGGGCTCCGACTAGAGAGAGAGATAAGCAGCAAAGGAGGCCTTCTTGCCTTGAAGTGTCCCATCTCACCCCCTCACCCTAATACAAGTTTATGGCTTTTGCTAGTTGCTGAGCTCCTCAGCTGTGAGTTTCATCATATTTACCTGGGAAAATATACAATAAAATCACGTCAATTGGGGTTCAGACAAGTAACACAAAGAAATGAAGCAACCACGGGTTAGGAGGAAAAAAGGGAATGGTGGGGACTGCAGCAAAGTGGAACTCACATGTCCCATCTAAACAGGCCAGCTGTACCCAGCCGGGGTGTCTCAGTTGGTTGGGCGTTGTCCTGTGCACTGAAATGTTGTGGGTTCAATTCCCTGTCAGGGCACATGCCTGGGTTTTGAGCACAGTGTCCAGTAGGGGGAGTGCAGGAGGCAGCTGATTGATGTTTCACTCTCATATCAATGTTTCTCTCTCCCTTCCTCTCTCTCTCTCTAAAAATCAATTAAAAAATAAACAGGCCCTGGCTGGTGTGGATCAGTGGTTAGAGCATTAGCCCATGGACTGAAGGAGCACAGGTTCATTTCCCGCAACCTGGGTTGCGGGTTCATTCCCCTGCGGGGCCATGTGCAGAAGGCAACCAATTGAGATGTCTCTCTCACAGTGATGTTTTTCTCTCTCCCTCTCTCCCTCCCTCCCTTCAACTGTCTCTAAGGGTCAGTAGAAACTATATCTTCAGGTGAAGATTAAAAAAATAATAATAATAATAATAAACCGGCCAGCTGTTCTAAAGCTCCAACTGACTAGTACCATGTGGGAATACAGCCAGCATGACTATGTCTTCCTACTTAAAAGAAGCCAGACATCTGCACCTTTATATGAAATCACCCAATGCAAAGGTTGACAACAAACTCCTGTTTTAAATGCACTCTACAGGGCAAAAGAAGATGCTCTGTTGATAAGGCCGTGGGCTGCCAGTTTGCAACCTATGGCTTAGTTGCTTGCCAATGCACGGTTATGGCTCATTTCTGTTACCATTCTTATTTTTGGATGGAGTCATTCCTACAAAAATAGTAGTCTTGCCTGGCCTGCATGGCTCAGTGGTTGATCACTGACCTATGAAGCAGGCCACAGTTCGATTCCCAGTGGGGGCACAAGACTGGGTTGCGGGCTCAACCCCAACCCCCAGTAGGGGGAGTGCAGGAGGCAGCTGATCAATGACTCATCATTGATGATTCTATCTCTCTTCCCCTCTCCTTTCTTCTCTTTCCGAAATCAATAAAAACATTACCAAAAAAAAATAGTCTTCACTAGGAAGCTGAGAGAGCTCAGAATGACTGAGACATCTGTGTGTCTAATGCAGGAAGAGCATTAAGAGAAAAGCACAGGCTCTGAGAGAAGGAAAGGGAAGGGGATGTATCCTGGGGAGGGGACTACCAAGTAAAGCTTCTTAGGACGTTTAGTGGAACTTTGAAAAACGGGTGGAAAATTTGCCAGAAAGAAAGGGAAGAGCAAGGAAAAGATAATCGGACAAAGGGAACAATGAGCACAAAGGCATGGAGGCCTGAGCGACCGTGGGCAGATCTAGAAAGCAGGATGGGCAAAGGAAGACAGTCCCTTCCACCCTGGCACCAGTCTCTCCACAGGCAGCCCCTGGGACCTATCTCCCACAGGCACTTACCATTGTGACAGGCAATCTGATCAGGTCGGCACGGCACCGGATTTTGAGCTGGAAAAGTCGGGGGCTCTTTGGGAGAATGGGCCCCTCCAAAAGGACCACCTCATCGTCTTGGCTCAGGTGGTCCTGGCCCTGGTGCTGCTTGGGACTCAGGCAGGAACGAAGGTCCTGGAGGCGCCTGTTCACCTCTCTGGGGTGGAAAGGGGCTTTGGGTGAGCCGGGGAGGGCCACCTCCATACTGACCCTCTCCACCCCAGCCCAAGCCCCACCCTGGCACCTTAACTTCTGGAGTGCCTGAGTATGTTTTCTGCTTTTGGTCCTCGGCAGAGGTGGGGGCAAAGGAGAGGTGTCCTGAGCCCTGCAGAGAGAAGAGAACGGCCAAATGGAGGAAGAGGAGAGACCCCAGTCCCATACCTCTCCTCATGGGCTACGGAGCCCTGGAAACAGGGGGAGCTGGAGAACCAAGAGGAAACACCTTCCAGGAGCATCCACCTTATTTTATTTTTTATCCTTACCAGAGGATCTTTTCCCCATTGCTTTTCAGAGTGGAAGGGGGAGAAACATCGATGTGAGAGGGACACATCCACTGGTTTCCTCCCGCACTCGCCCCAACCAGGGCTGGGGATGGAGCCTGCAACTGAGGTATGTGTCCTTGACCAGAATCGAACCCAGGACCCTTCAGTCCGAAGCTCTAACTACTGAGCTAAACCGGCCAGGGCTACATCCATCTTATTGAAGACAAAGACAGGAAAGGACAGGAAGATCTGACTATCATTTCTATTGGGAAGAAAATGCCTCTTTTTTCCCCCCAATCCCCACCTGAGGATATGTTTACTGATTTGAGAGAGGGAGAGAGAAACATTGACGTGAGAGAGAAACATCAACCAGTGGCCTCCCACATGCACCCTGACTGGGGACTGAATCTGCAGCCTAGGTATGTGTCCTGACTGGAATGGAACCCGTGATCTTTCGGTATATGGAACGCCACTCCAACCAAGCCACACCAGCCAGGGTGAAAATGCCCAACTCTTAAATTAAGTTACTTCGCAGGTGAATGTCTGCTAACACCAAGCACTTACTATATGCCAAGTGTTAACTCTTAATCTACTCAAATATTCTGACCCAGGTACCACTATTACCCTCATTTTACAGAAAAGCAAAGTGGGGCACAGAGAGGATCGTTAAGAGGCAGCTGGTTGGATGTGAACCACAAGGGCGGTCTCCAGAACCACACCCTTCGCCCCTGCATTACCACCATCTCAGACACAGAAGAAACACTCCACTCCCATGGGCGGTCCTGAAGGGTCCACTGTCATCCTCTCGTGTGGGCCACCTCTTCTGCCACGAGCTTCATTCCTCACCTGAGCCTCAAGACCCCTTCCACCCCTTTTCCTTACCCCTTCAGCAGCCACCCAAGGTTCCTGCCTGCCTCAGCCTACCCCTCCAATTCCTATTCTGCTCCTAGGGCCTCAGTGCCCAGCCTCACTCACAGAGACACCGTGTTTTTCTCTTTTTCTTCTTCAGCCTTACTCCTCAGCTTCTTCTTCCAGGGAGAATCTGGAACTGGGAGATCCTCAGCATGGGGACTGCTAGAATCTGCCATATCACACTCTGGGGACAGAGGAGAAAGTGTAAAGGATTAGCCAAGAAAGGGCAGCAAGAGGCCAAGGAGAGGAGATACAAGTCACGGGCTTCAGAAGGTCCTCAGAAAGGAGACGGTGGGGGACCCAGACACCAGGATCACATCACAATACTGAGCAAGTGCTCAGTATAGTTCTTTTCTATTTGTTTGCCACCAATAAGAGGCCATCATTAACCACTCCAGCTACAGCAGTGTTCTCACTTTTTTGATCATATGTACCCCCAAATAAAAAATACCAAGCATACAACCCAAAAAATACATATTTAATACTACTATTATGCTACTTAATACTACAATTATAACACTATTAGTATCATGTACTACTACACGTGTATATACTGTTATGTGTATTATAAAAGGTACATTAAAACAGATGTTCTCAAAGTATGATTTTTTAAAAATACTTCCATTTTCTTCCTGCACTCAATTTGGTGGGCACAGAGAGACTATGTAAGTCGGGCACTGGGGCAAGGAGGGAATGAAGAAAGAAAAAAGGAGCACAGACCCTCTAAGCACGTTTCTCAAATTTTATCCACGTGAGGGTCATTACCACATTTTGCCATATCTCTGCATTGTTATTTGTTTAGTATTTTTCTTTAAATCATTAATTCATTATAAAAGGAAACTAGGTATTTTCCCCTTTCTTATTGAGGTATAACTGACATGTAAGATTTTATTAGTTTCGTGTGTACAACATGATTCAGTATTTGTATACATTGGGAAATTATCAGAAACCAGGTATTATTCTAGAATATAGTTCTTTTCTATTTGTTTGCCACCAATAAGAGGCCATCATTAACCACAAAAATAAATACTGTGAAAACAAAACAAAGATAATAAATCCTAGATCTGCGGTTCTCAATAGGAGGCAATTTTGCCTCCCAGGGGACATGTGGCAATATCTGGAGAATATTTTGGTTGTCACAATAAGAGAGGGAGGGGTTTGGGCTGTGACACTGGTATCTAGTGGGTAAGAGGTCAGGATGCTGCTGAACATCCTACAATGCACAGAACAGCCCCACAACAATCATCCAGTCCAAATGTCAGTAGTGCTGACATTAAGAAACCTTGTCCTAGCTACATATGGCAGCTGCCAGTGGCCTGAGATTCTGTATTTCTGACAAGCTCCCAGGGAATGACCAACATTACTGGGCCCGCATTTTGAGTATGGGGCTCATTGCAGGGCTCAAGCAGGGCCCACATTTTGAGTAGCAAGGAAAGAGGTACATTTATATAGCACTTCTACATGCCAGGTAATACCCTAAACTATACATGTAGCCAAGAGAGGGCTCCCTATATGTTCTCTTTAGTTAATTCTCACTAAAATCCTTTGACATAGGTCCACTATTATCCCCATTTTCCGGATGAGGAAATTAAACACTGAGAGATTAACTTGCCCAAGGTCACACAGCTAATAAGGAGTAGAGCTGGGATTCAAACTCAGACCAGCTAGTTCCTAAATCAGCTCTTCACCCTACCATACTCCCTCATGGTGTAGAAGTCTTGGTCCAAGAGCTGGATGTACTCACTGGATCACTTCCTTATTTCACTTGCTTCCTAGTCATTGTCCTTGGATGGGCTGCAAAAACATCACTGGGGGAGGGTAAGGCTGGGCAGCCCTGATAAGACTCAAAAGAACACCCTGCTGGCTCCAGAGTGTTCCCAAGGAACTTGCTGCAGATGTAACAAAGTTACAGATCCTCAACACCGCCCCTCCCTTGTCCCCAGGATTGCAGAATCAGAATCTCCAGGGATGGCGCCTAGAAATCTGTATATTAGCTCACTCTTATACCTAGTAGAGCTGGAAAAAGGGTGATTTGACAGCACTTCCTGTGCCTTCTGATTAACAATTCAGCTCCTTTCAGGACTGGAGCATTTTTCTGACTAGGATGCAGGAGTCACCTGTCCTATTCCTTCCCCTGAGCCTCAGACAACAGATAACTGCAGGGAAGTCTCCTCAGGGAGGCCAGTGCTGGGCATCTCTTCAGGAAGCCCTTTCTTACCTTCCTCAGGCCCTGGGGGACAGAGTTTCAGGAGGGGCAAGTGATCTGGGATGAGTTGGAGGCTGCTCTTCACCTGCAAAGACAAAAGTGGGTCAGCCCCAAGTCCTCCTTCCACTGAAAGGGAAAGCGGGATACTTCCTCCCTCACACACAGGCCTCCAGCTCCCAAGTTCGCCCAACAGATATAGATATCACAGCCGCCTTGTAGGACGCAGGAGCTTTCCCAGGATCCAAAACTGGAGGGCCCTTACTCCCACACCCCCTTTCCTCAAGGCACTCTGAGGATACAGGTTTAGTTCTACTTTTTTACTAGGCTGCTAGCCATCCCACTGTCTTAGAGACCTAGGGAATCCCAGCCCCCTAGTTCACTCTGCAGCCCCCAGTTCTTTCTGAACTTCCATGAGCCCCAGTCCCCAATATTCCAGCTTCCTGGATCCTTAGCAATGGGCTCCAACCTCAAAACCAAACATGCCCCAAATTCCAGCCCCAGCGCCTCACCGAATCCTCAGGGATGCCAGCTCCACAGCCTCTCTATGCCCCCATGGGAATCCCAAACTCCCAACACACTTCAAAGCCCTTCATCTCCCAGTCTGCAGAAACCCCAGGAACGCTGCATCTCTCTGCCTCCAAGACCCTAGCCCCTGCTTGAGTGAGTCTCCCAAGTGCCACCCCCAAACCCTACGCTCAGTACTCCTCACACCCAGCCCCTCCGGCTAGCCCTCCCGGGAACCGCCCCACCTTTCCGGAGTACACCGGCACCACCGGTGCCTCCCCCGGATCCAGCAGTAGCCGCCGCCGCCGCCTGACAAGGCCCTGAGGGGCTCCAGCCGGCCGTGCGTCCGCCCCTTCGCTGTCGCTGTCACTGTCGCTTTCGTCCCGGTCGTCCCGCGGCGCGGCCGGCACGGGGGACTCCGGGAGCAGGAGTTCGACCGGGTCCGCTGACCCGCGCGCGGCTGAAACCTCCACGATTTCCTCATCACTGTCGCTGACCAAGTCCACAAGTACCGAATCCACGGAGCGCCGGGCAGGAGACTGCTGGGCTCCAGGGCGCCGGTTCCGGGCGCCCCGGGCCCCCCGAGTTCCTCGGCCAGCACCGCCGCTTCCTGAGCGCCGGCCCCGCTTCCTCACCGGCTCCGCCATGGCACTCACCGCACGGCCAAAGTCGCCCGCTTCTAGGTTATTCAGCCGGCCCCCTCTCGCGACTCCCGCCCTTCATTGGCAGAACCGCCTGCTAGTCATCACTCCTCCCCGCCCACACCCTCTGGCTCCGCCTCCCTGCCCTTTCAGTGGTCGCTTCACCCGTCCATCACACGTCCGCCACAGAAACCAAGACGCCGAAGATTCCAGTGAGCGTCGAGGCAATTAGCGTAAGTTTCAATTCGCCCGGGACCACCCATTGGCTGGGCTGCCTCTGTTCCAGACCAGCCTTCTCCCAGCCCCGCCCATCAGAGTTCCGTTTTCCTGTTTGGTGGTGGAGCCAGGCATCCTGGGAATTGTAGTTCTCAAGCTCTACGGCTTCAGGGAGGAGGAAGGTGGACTGGAAATTGCTTATAGAAATCGTGAAATTAGAGGAAGGGAGCATTTTAAGTCTTTTTCTAAATTTTAATTTTTATTTATTGATTTCAGAGAGAGGATGGGAGAGGGAGAGAGAGAAACCTCGAGGAGGGAAACATCGGTTGGCTGCCTCCTGGACGCCCCCTACTGGGGGCTGAGCCCGCAACCTGGGCATGTGCCCTGCCAGGAAATCCAACAGGGACCTCTTGGTGCAGGGGAGGAGCTAAACCAACTGAGCCACACCAGCCAGGCCATCGGTTGATTCTTGTATGTGCCCTGACCCGGGATCAAACCTGCAATCTTATCCAGATGAAGATCTAACCAACTGAACTACCCAGCCAGGGCTTAAGGGAGTATTTGAGATCTTGCTCCCTGGACATATGTGGTCAATTTGGCTCAAATAAACTCAAAAAAATTCTCTACTGGTTTCCGGGGGTGGGGGGAGATCACAGAATCAGGCTTCAGACTTCAGGATATCCCCATCAGGGTTTCTCCCAACCATGTTCTGAACTAATTCCACGCAGTGTCACCCACTCTCACACATGTTCCCTCCTTACATGCAGAATCCACACAATTAACACCATGGACCAACACTTTAACACCACTCAACTCTCCTAATTGCCTCCAACGTCATACAAACCCTCCCTCACACCAGACATCCTGACAGGCATGTTTTACACACAATGTCAACACAGCATACACCTGTTATCCTTGTAATTAGCTAGTTAATATTAATAAATATTAATATTATTTATTAATTGGCCAGTGTGGTTCAGTTGGTTGGAATGTCATCCAGTACACCAAAAAGTGGCTGGTTCGATTTCTGGTCAAGGCACATACCCAGGACTCGTGCAGGAGGTAACCAATCGATGTTTCTCTCTCTCTCTCTCTCTCTTGCTTCCTTTCTCTAAAAAAGTCAATTGAAAAATTTTTAAATAATAATAAAATAAAGAAAGCAAAGGGAAGGGCAACATTATAAGCATGGTTGTCTGGGCAGCTTCACCAGGAAGCTATAGCTTCATGCTCCCCAGGGAACCACCAGTCCATTCCCTGCAGATCACTGGGAGGAGAGATGGAACAAAGGGGAAGATGGGCACATGTGCAGTGAAGTCAGGGTGACCTAGGGAAAGTGCTTGCCTGTCAGTCTAGCCTGGGGAACAATGGATTGACTGGGGGGTGGACCCCCTCAGAAGTGTGTGAAATCGTGGAGGGTTAAAATTCCCAGACATGCCCTGGCCAGTGTGGTTCATTTGGTTAAGTATCGTCCTGTGCACTGAAAGTTTGCAGGTTCCATTCCCAGTCATGGCACATGTCCAGGTTGGGGGCTCAATCTTCCATCAGGCAGCCGATAGATGTTTCTCTCTCTCCCTCTCTCTCTCCCTCTTCCTTCCTTTTTCTCTAAAATCAATAAAAACATATTTTAAAAATAAATAAAACAAAATCTCCAAAGAGTTCCCTCTCTCTTGCTTTTGTTCATGCTTTCTCTCTCTGCTCTGCACCCTACACTCACCTGTGTACTCACCTGTTCTCTCTCCATAGGCGTGTGGCCTTAAGCAGCCACATGGCCCATGGCCGTACAGACTCCACACGCAGTGGGCTGCAGCTGGGAACACAAGTTAAGCTAGCTGGTCTGGACTGTGCTTTAATATGGAACAGAAATTCAGGGCCACAGCCTTCATTCTGGCCCTGCTGAAGACAAGAATGGACTTCTTCCATGGTGAGGTGGACAGAGATGGGACCTTGGAGGGGAACCCCCTTAATTTTACTTCATCAATAAATCTAGCCCTGGCCGGTGTGGCTCAGTGGTTGAGCATTGACCTATGAACCAGGAGGTCACCATTCAATTCCCAGTCAGGGCACATGTCCAAGTTGGAGGCTTGATCCGTAGTAGGGAGCGTGCAGGAGGCAGCCTGTCAACCACTCTCATCATTGATGTTTCTCTCTCTCTCTCCCTCTCCCTTCCTCGCTCTGAAATCAATAAAACGTATTTGAAAAAATAATAATAAAATAAATTATTAAAAAATAAATAAATAAAGCTTTCCATGAAACCCCATCCTCCCATGGGAGCCTCAGGAAATTCTTTTCCTTGTGGCACCCCAAGAACTCCCCTTCCATCGGTAACACACCCACGCAGTATCCTCCCACAACAACAATGAACTCTCCTTGCTGAAAATAAGTGACTCCTTCCCGCCCCCTTTTCTTTCAGAACTTTTCGAATGTATGTACATCTTTATAATGGCTACACAAGCCTCTTGCCAGTCTCATGACTCAGGAACTCCAGGACTGGGAGTCATCTTTCTGAAATGCTAATATCAAGGGAGGTAGCTCTCGATCCCTGTTTTGGGGGGACAGTAACTGCCTAACTGCAATTGGTCAGGGCCTTGCTGCAATACGCAAAACTGCCTCCCCGGTGAGAAGTTTGTTTCTTCCCTCCCCCATAGAAGCCAATTACCTTTATAACGTTAGGATGAACTAGGTATGACTGAAGGTGTTTTCAAGTCCTCTTACTTGAGGCAGAGTCATTGCTTATTTGGAAAACAAGACATGGGTTTTGAAAATTTATGTTGGCCCTGGCCGGGTAGCTCAGTTGGTTAGAGCATCGTCCAGATACACCAAGGTTTCTGGTTTGATCCTTGGTTAGGTCACATACAAGAATCAACCATGAATTTATAAATAAGTGGAAGAGCAAATTGATGTTTTTTTCTCTCTCTCTCTCCCTGTCACTTCTCTAAAATCAAGAAATAAAAAATTTAGGAAGGGTTCAATTCCTGGTCAAGGCATATGCCCGGGTTGCGGGCTAGGCAGGCGATCAATGACTCTCTCATCATTGAGGTTTCTATCTCTCTCTCTCCCCCTCCTTTCCTCTCTCTGAAATCAATAAAGATGTATTTTAAAATAATAATAATAAATTTTAAAAAGAAGAAAAAAATTTATCTTGAAAACAGGATAACGGGTTGTACCTATTTGGCTATGTAAAAGGGTGAGATTTCTTTCTGCCTTTGCAATCCCTTAGTGCACTACCTGTGATGTGCATCACATTCCAGTTTAATGCTTATTTAATTTTTTTAAAATAAATCTTTATTGATTTTAGAGAGAGGAAAGGAGAGGGAGAGACAGAATCATCGAGGAGAGTCGTTGATCAGCTGCCTCCTGCACGCCCCCTGCTGGGGATCGAGCCTGCAATCTGGGCATGAGCCCTGACCGGGAATTGAACCTCTATGTCCCAGATCATAGGTCGATGCTCAACTGCTGAGCCACGCCGGCCAGGCAATGCTTATTTTATTTTTTAAAAAATGTTTTCTGTCTCTACTACATATGCAGAGAGGTTTTCTGGGTTGGGAGATTTTGTTTTCTCATTACATTTCCCCGGAACCCACCAACAACACTGGACACCCCAGAGGCTACATGTCCCCCACATATCTACCTTACAGCTCCTGCACAACATGCACCTAAACACAGCAGACACACGCTTTCAACACTCACATCTCCAATATCACCTCCAACTGCATGACCCCTAACCCCTGGCACCACACATCCCACACCACACTTCATAAATGATACCCACACTCAATACTACCTGCCTGTCACGCACATACTGTTCACATAACATGTACTCCACATATCCATCCGGTACAGCAACTAGGCCACCACCCACATCTCATCCCCCCCTCTATTCTGCCACACTGATATCTCCCACGAAGATACCCCCACTCATTCAGCCACACCTCAAATCTTCCATGCAGATTTGCCCAAAGATTAAAGGCGCACATCCCCAGCAGGTAGGGCTCTTTCCCAGAGGGAAAAGGTTCCGGGGCTCTGGCAGAGGGATGCCAAAGACCTCCTACTCCCAGGACACCTTCAGCCATTCTCTGCAGCCAGGATGGAAGCATAGAGATCGCACCAAAAGCCCTTCTGCCAGCCTTGGGCCCACCTGGGAGGCCACTGCAAACCAGGGAAGCTGAGTGTGGCCCTAAGGGTTTGAAACTTCCCCAAGTCTCCTCCCTAAACCTTGCTCAAGAGCTGTAAGTGGTCCAGCCCCTGCCAAAAACCAGGTCTTACCTAGCGTGGGAAGTTGAGAAGCCCTGGGGTATGGCTCCCTCCTGGGTAAAAACCTGCCTAGAAGGAAGCCCCAATCCAAATAGTCTAAGTGCCCTCTAGCTCCTGGCACACAGTAGGCCCTTAAGGAATGCCAAATAATAAACATGGTTAAGCCCTTGGCTGGGTGGCTCCGTCGGTCCCAATAAGCCAAGGTTGTGGATACAATCCCCGGTCAGGGCACGTACGAGAATCAACCGATGAATACATGAGTGAGTGGAACCACAAGCCGAAGTTTCTCTCTCAAGCTCTCTCCCTTCCTCTAAATAAAGCAACAGAATGGTAATGGCTGATGTCTCAGTTGCTTACTTCGCCATTGTCACGTGCTTTACGTCTAAGACGCATTAAGGCAGCTATAATTATTAGCCCTATTTTACGGACCAGGAAACTGCAGCACAGAGCTTGAGTCACACAGCCAGAAAGGCGGCTCGAACTCGAATAGTCTGGTTCCAGAACGCAGGGCTGGAGCGGGCGCACCTCCGTTCCTCCACCGCCCCGAGACTTCCCTGGGTGGGGGAGCCCTCCGGAGTGTCTCCATCCTCTGCACCCCGAATCTAGCACTTTCCACAGGCCTTCACCCACTCCTCCCTCCCTGCTCATTTCCTGAGCTCCTGATCTTTGCCACCCCCTGGCTGGGTACCCAGGACAAAGAGGAGACAAAGTCTTCTCTTTGGATTCACTCTCAAGGAGGCAGGATGCTTTCACCAGGAGTCACACTCTCGAATGCTTCAGGCAGGAAACCTAAGGGAATGACACAGCCCAGATGAAAGGTAATAGGGAATGGCAGGGATTGTGGCAACATGGAGAGCGTATTTTAGCTGAAGGGTAAGGTAGGGGTGTGACTGCTAAGCTAGATCTAGGATTTTTATTTTTTTTAATTTTTTACTTTTTGCCCTGGGGACTGTGTTCAAGTTAGAAGCCCAAAGAAATGCTGGAGGTTGTGTGCCACCACCTGCACTCCAAACATACACTACACAAAATATAACAAGGAGCAGTGCTCTCTTTATTAAAGATAGTTGAGCTCGAAAGCAAGAGAGAATCTTCCAATCGCTAAAAATAAAGAAGGAAAGCAAAGCCACAACAGTGAAACGGGGCTGAAGTCAAGCAGCCCACAAGAAAGCTGGGATCCCTAGGACTGGAGTTTTAACACCCACATGGGGACAGAGGTCAAGGTGGGGGCCCTGGGAACAGCAGAGAGCTGAAAGTGAGGGCACTGCCCAGGCCAGGAGCTGAAAAAGGGCTGTCTCTTCCAGGCACAAAAGACAGAGAAAAAAATCCATGCACATGCCTTGGGGTGCAACATGGAAGCAAGCCGCCTAACAGGCAATGGGTGGAAAAAGTCACCGCAGAAAATCAGAATCCCAAGGACCAGAAAGTATGAACCTGGATTCAGACCAAACCTTAGGTGCAAAAACCTGCTCTGAGAAACTCATGAACAGAATGGTCAGACCTGTGTAGCCTGTAAGACTGTGGCAGAAGCCAAAGCAAGCTGGCCCCAGGGGGTGGCAGTGGGGCCCGGGTAACTCATGGGATTCCTGCAGACAAGAGAAACACAGATGTCAAAGAAACCTTCCATGGTGACACCGCCATGGGAGAATTCACCCTATTGTACAGATAACAGTAACCACACCATGCCTCTTCCCTAATGCTATTTTATAATTGGGAAAACTGAGGGTCATTGAGTTTAGGTATGCTCCTAAGGTCAGTTAGCAATTAATTAATTTCTCTGTACCTCAGTCTTCTTAGCAGTACATTGACAATAATTTTAGCATATCTTCCTCACAGGAGGTTATCAAGATGAAATGAGACATTACCTGTAAAGCACTTCTTAGAACAATGCCTTCCACATAATAGTGGTGACGTAAGTTTTAAAGAGTCAGAGATAAGTTTTAAAGGCTTAGAGATAAAGAAGCCTTCAAAAACAAAAATAGGACGCGAGGAAAAAAAGACTGGTACATTAAGAAAAGAAATTCTAGAAATAAAAATGTAGATACTGAAAAAGTCTAGCCACTCTTGCGAAGACATTAACACTTCCTAAATAGAAGAGGGACTGGGTTTCAGACGCCAGCCCTGGGTTTCAGAAGAGCACTGGAGCTGGGGAGACCAGGCAGGAGACGCCAGGAATATCAGTGACTGATTCCACCCTTGCCTGAGACAAGAATTTGGGTGTGGTGGAGCTTGCTACATAATGGTTTCAGGGCCTGAAAGTCTTCTTCATGTTCATGGTTTATATCAGAAGTAGGCACTCGATCAGGTGGTAGGCACAGTGGCTAGAACGGCAGCCAGATTTCTGGATTCAGACCCAGCTCTGCGAAGTGCTAGTTGTGTGACCTTAGACAAGTTAGTTGGCCCTCTGACACTCAGTTTCCCATCTGAAGAATTGAACCTAGGAAGGGAGAGTGTCAAGATTGAATATAGGCTCTAGAATTAGACTGCCAGAGTTCAAGTCCAGGCCCCAGTACTTACTAACTAGGCAAGCCTCGGACATGTTATTTATTTATTTAATCATCACACGAGAATATTTTTTCCATTGTTTTTCAGAGAGAGAGGGACATCAATTTGAGAGAGACACGGATTGGCCACCTCCTGCACACACCCGGACCGGGGCCAGGGATAGAGCCTGAAACCGGGGTACATGCCCTTGGCCAGAATCGAACCTGGGACCCTTCAGTCCTCAGGCGGACGCTCTAACCACTGAGCAAAACCGGCCAAGGCGGGCATGTTATTTAGCTTCTCTGCCTCGGTCTCCTCATCTGTGAAATAGGGATGTATGTAAAGGTAAAATGAGCTAATATATATAAGCACACATATACGTAATACATACGTAAAACACATAAAAACTTTTATACCATCGTGGCACATAAGTGCTCACAAACTTTGTGAGGTTACTGTAAAGTTTAAGTAAGTTAATTGATGTCAGAACATAGCAGATGTTCAATGACCGTCTGTGATGACCGCCAGTCCCTGGATTGCTTCCTTTCCGCTGCGCACCAGCATGCAACTGCTGAGTGAACAATGGTGGAATAACTGGATGGCGGGAATGGCAGGCACGCAGGGGAGATGGGTGTAGGCCAAGCCACAGGGAGGAAAAGGCCCTGCTGCACCCAGGACGCAGCTCTTCCTCCTCCACTGGGTTGGAGAGAGAATGGAATACACCCATCCTCCCCTCCCCCTCCCCTCCCACACAAGGGCACTACATCACGGGATCGGAACAGCTCGTGGAGTTTATTTGGGCAGTGCAAAGGGGACTGGAAGTTTCACTTGTGTACACAAACACACACAGATACACACATCCTGAGCAATGTCGCCGGAGGTTGACATCGTCCGCTTTGGGTTCTCAGATTTCAGAGTCAGGCGTGGATCTCAGGAGCCTGAGGAGGCCCAGGCTAAGTAGAAGAAACTGTGATGGGGAGGAGTCTAGGAACCCGACCCTTGGCCACCAGGCCTTGGGAACCCTTTCTCCTCTCCTTGCCTGAGTGTCAGAGCCCCACTTCCATCCCTGCTCACCTCCCTCCCTCCTTCTCCCCTTTCTGCAGGGGGCAGTTCCCAGCTCACTTGAAGGGAATTCAGCGGGTGCTCCAGGTCCCCATGTGGGCCTCTCCTCCCCATGCTGGTTCTGGCCCATCAGGGTTATCCATGTTCTCATAAGAATCTGCATCTGGTTGGGACCAGGAAGGAGTGAAACATAGATAGAGCTGGAGAGGCTAGGAGACAGTCAGCCGCAGAGGACAACAGGGGACAGGAGCAGAAGCACCCACCTTCCTCATGATTGGGACCAGGTTGGGCCCGAAGGGAGCGGAGCTGGGGGGCTGCATACAGGATCCCTCTCATATCCTCATAGGACTGGGACCCTGTGTGGGCAGGGGAGGATCGTTGTAGGCCTGGGAGTCATCCTGGGAGTTTGGGGACGGGAAGTGCCACCTAAGATATGGAGGGAGGCTGAGGGGCAGGGGGAGGTGTAAGGCTTGACCCATGTTGTATTAGGAAGGAGGGATGAGGGTCAGTATCAGGTTCGGGGTCCTTGTTAATTTTAGAGTTCAGTCAGGTATGGGTTAGATTATGGTCACGGTCAGAGAAATAGTCAAGAACAGAACCGGAAAGAGTCAGAGTCATGAAGACCTTGTGGAGAGAGCTGGGGTCAAAGCTGAGGTCTGCACTGAGGCTGGGGTGAGGTGGAGGCCAAAGTCCAGGCTGGGGTTGGACTGGAATCAGGACTGATGTCCAAGGTCATGGATGGGGTAAATAAATACTGGAGTCAAAGTCAAGGTCAAGGTTCTGTCTGGAGTTACAGCTGAGGCCAGGTCAACCCAATCTGGGAAAGTTTGGCAGGTTCCAAGCATTTCTCACCAAGGGATGTTGCCTCCCGGCTGGGGTCCCAGGCTGTCCCATGGGGGCTCAGGAAGTCTGGAGAAGGAAGAGGGGAGTCACTATTCCTCCTGGCCTCCAGGTCACACACACCATCACCTCCACCACCACCACCACCACTCACGCTGCTCAGGAATGTGACCATCCTCATCTACACACCTTTTGTCCTGGCCACTGGCTGGGCCAGCTCTTCATCTTCGTTCTCATAGGACTCAGATGCTGCAGAAAAAAAGAGAGCTTCAGAGGCCACTCCTGCCCTGGAGGGGCTCCATGGATCCTCCCAAGTCCCTGAGGACCTCACGTTACCATTGGAGAAGGAGTCGTCATCCTCAGGACCCACGGGCCCGTCCTCAGGGTCCTCATAGCCGCTACCATCTGGGGGAGAGGGAGGGGGTGTCCAGTGAGGGTCCCCAGCCCCCCGCTGAGAAGGTGGGGGAGCCCGGGGGGAGGGCAGTCTCACCCTGGGAGAGCTGGTCCTGCCCAAGGTTGGAGTCATTCTCGTAGCACTGGGAGCCATCCTCGCTGTCCGGCTCCTCATAGGCCTCCCCTTCTTCTGGACCTGGGATTTGAGGACAGGGGTGGGACCGAGTCACGGCCCCCCTCCTCCGGGCCTCAGTTAACTATTCCTGCCACAGACAGACCGCTCCAACACCCCCACATATGAGCAAGGACCCCTGGGCATCACCAGCGCCCGTCGGGCTCCGAGGCCCCGCAGCTCCGGCCTCCGGGACGTCGTGGTAGGGGTTTCCGAAGGACTGGACGGCGGCTCCCCGGCCCGCAGCCCATCGCAGGGAGCGTCCTGCGGGGCGAGCGTCGTAAGGGGGGCGAGCGAGGAGAGATGGGGCGGTCAGAGCTGGGGGAGCCCGCGGCGGGGGGCGGGAGGGGAGGCTC